GCTAAACCTCTAAAAGCAAAAGAATACACAGCATAAAAATCAAAATATGCTATGTTTTTTCTATGCTAATGGCCCCTTACATCATTGCTACTGATTTCAGTGTTGTAAAACTGTTGTCAGATAGAAGCTCTCAATTTTTCGCCAAGTATGTCAGAAATTCTTAACAAAGGTAAGAACATGGCATATAAAGATCTTCGTAGAATTAGCCTTCTATTATAGCCATTTCACAGTGATACTAAGAGCATTTATTAACAGCAAACCTAAGATTCTTCTTAACGTTACGAGATGACTGATGTTAGGATTGCATTCTTGCAGAAACGCAAAATGTGGGCAGCTAACTCAACGGATTCTTCTGTAAAATTTGACCATCGGGCTTATGCGTAGGAGACTCTGCACCTTCAAAAATGCTAAGAGGAGTTAGATGAATGCTTAGACAAAGTCGAGAATAAGAAAAATTGATGAGGTCTTTGATTTGACCCGAACATCGTGGCTTAAATAGCACTTTGTTTATACTGTTAGAATGGTTACGCCTATCACAGCATATCTCCTTCCACATCTAAAGAGCTGTCAGTAGCAGAGAAAATGTTTTATTGACTGAAATTCATTCAAATATGCAATAATGCAAAATAATCTGTTAATAAGCTACTCACAGTGTTCAAATCGTTTTTAACGAAAGTTCATTACTTTTAAACGAGCATTTCCATGTATTAGAAGATAGAACAAGGGCAGAAAGTAATTCGAAAGTTTTCTGCAGACCTTTAAAATTTTGGAAGAAAACACGGCCACACCCGCGTGTCTGACTTTTCTTTTTAATCTTTTATGATCTTGTTTATCTTTTCTCTCTGACCAGAGGTGTCCATAAACGGGGTTAGTGTACGGACATGTCCTCTGAGATTGCAGGAACAGATCCCAGGGAATGTGGGGAAATGCTTAAGAACTATTTAAGAGAAATCATTGGAAGATAAATAATAAGGCAAGTTCCAATTGATAATCAAATTTCTTTCAAGCCGTTAAGAATATGACTGCGATGCTCAAAAATGGTGTAGATGAAGTAAATACTTTAATTCTATAGCATTTTCTATAAAAATCGGGGTGTGCGATAGACTTACCTCCTCGTGGTGCACCCTGGGCAACGTATACTCATACGGCAAAAAAGTCTCTTATACGGCAGTTGATTTCTCACTTCAAATTACCATCACCCCACTATATGTTATATTTGACTACTTCCACAGTAATCATCTCACCTTTTTTCTACCTTTGTGTCTGCCTCTTTTACATCTTTGAAACACTCTTCTCTTCCCTCCCCCCTCTCGACTTTTTTCCCTTCGAAGTTCCATCCTCTCTGTGAAGCCTGAAGTCAACTAAAGGGCTAATGATAACCATCAAAACGCCTGCCATTTGATATAAATAAATGAATAAATTCTATAAAAAATCTGTCGTCGATATATCTTAGTGGATGTGTTTTGAAAGTTGTAGTTTACTATACACTAGTAAAAATGTGAAATTTCATTTTCATTTGTTTGACACATGAAAGGCTGGAGCCTGGGATTCGTCTTGAAAATTGGGCGACAAATTTTCCATTAGTGTCAGTGGATATTGAAAGGGACTCTTGCAGAAGTTTGCATAAATGAAAGCTATAACAGCGGTGATGATTTCGGTTAGATTCATCTGTCTTAACTTAAGCAAACAACCATGTTGACTTCCTGGGAGAATCCGTGCTCAATTTTAGGATGTATCAGGAATAATAAACACTAGAATAGTTGAAACGTCGCATATCAGATTACTAATTGATTCATTGCTAATCTCTTCAATGAATTCCTTAAAGAATTAGCCACGGATATTTTTCTGAGTTGGATAGGGAAGAAGTCGACTCTTGAATCTCGTGAACCAATTCTATCCATCAATTGCTAATGCTGTCCAAATACTCTAACAATACAATATATTTGATTATGTAGGTATTCTAATTTTTTCATTCTCTTGTATGAGTTGACCCAAAATAAGTACTTCTTGATTTCTTTGAAATACAAAAGAATTAGAATTACTGCTTCTTATGCGTCAAGAAATGTAGCTTTAATATGAATTGTTTCCATTTATTTTCAAATTCGTATCTCAGAAATTGATTAAATTTGTCGATTTATTTACTGATTAGGTTAAATGTAGAGTAGCTAATACACTTATTCAGCTAATTATTACAAACAATGAACATTGTTTTGGGACCTACCATTTTAATTTAACACCTAGTGATTTAAGTTAGACTCAATAAATCATGGGCTGACATTGGAATGAATTGAATAAAATAACATTCACACAAAATCACTAAATAGGGGCGGAAAATAATTTTTTTACATAAAGGTACAAAAAGGAGAGACAATGCTTCCAACTCATTAGGTTGTCAGTCAACTTTTATCACACTTTTTCTTCACTTCTTGTAACTGCTTGCATGAATTTAGATCCTCATCAAGTCCAGAACAAGTTTGCAAATTCATACTCCTTCGAAAAATCTCATTGACTTCTACATGATTCGAAGTTGGCCGTATCGCTTCGCCCGAAATCTCAAGGGCACCAGGAGTTGTCATGACTCCCGTATCTATTGATTTCCTATTCCATCGAGGTATCATTGACCGGAGGTTTCGTCTGAAAGTTTCACTAAGCCAGGCGTATAATAAAGGGTTATACACGGCGGAGCTCATTGCAAAGATATGACAGGTCAAGAAAATAACGCCGGAGTAATAGTGGGGTCGGAAGTTCGGATCCCCCATTCTCATGTCTGTGTAAAAGGAAACTGCGTTGAGGGGGATCCAACATACAGCAAAAACTACCACCATTGCTATTAACATTCTAAAATAGAAGGAAAATATAAATTAAGTGAATAAGAAATTAAATTGCAATGTCTGTAGAAAGATTATAAATTACTCAATATGCTATTGCAACTAATTTAGCTGTTCTGATCAGAATTTTGCCAAGCCTATCACGCAAACGGTTTTTCAAACCTGTCCTTGGTTGAGGAAGGAAATTTATATTTTACGCAATTCTTGCTGCCTGTAGTTAATCACTGAGTTTGTTTACCTTCGTTACTAGATGCGCATTGATTAAAATTGACCTCCTGGGCAATGGTATGTTGGAGGAAAGTGGGCTTCAGTGTTCTGTCGTCTAATTTTAAGGACATTTTTTAATTTATTCAGCCAACAAGAACGAAAAGCCAATGTAAATTTAACTGGAAACATTTTACTTTGGATCCTTTTGTGCCAATTTTAAATGTAGAAGCAGAATGATTTGATCGGTAGAATAGGAATTTGAGTAAGAGAAAAATGATCTTGAATTGAGATGTGTAATTATTCATGAACAACTTTGGAGAAATACCAGTAACCAAGACCCCATGGCAAGAGGAATTTCACTACTTGAAGGAATTTGTAAATTTTAGTAATTTGTTATTTTTGCTCTGAAAAATTTATGGCTGAATTTGCTTATTTTAAATTATCATTGAACAAAAAACGTCAACGAAATGTGAATAGATAAACATTCTTTTAAATTTTTTCTTAAACCTAATTTTAACAGCAAATTCAACCAATCAAAGTGAATAATAATAACTGTGAAATTAGGGAAAGATTTGGGTAAATTTTGCACGCTGAAAATATAACGAAATATCACTAGAATACTTTGCCTTCAATTCTGAAAAAAAATCTTGGA